TCACTGTTCATGAAAAATCAGTGTTCATTGCTTTATCAGCAGGAACAATCGCTGGAAGGTTTGGCAGCTCATGTTTTAGAATTATGTTAATACTTTAATGGGATCAGATTCTTCAGAAGATCTTTTGGAACCAAATATTCTTCATCCAGAAAGATAAAGTATTCTTAGCTTTTCGTTGGGGAACTAGGTTATAATTTGGTAGCCTTCTCATTTTTCACAAAAGAAATTTTCTAAAAAGTCCAATTTCGGGTGACTCTTATTGAAATGTAGGAACTGTTAAGGCTTTTTCTCCTAATCACAACTCTTCATCGTTATACCGTTTTACACGTGCAAGTGCACTCATAACGTTTTGTTTTGGTTTTGAACATTGCCATTCAGGTCTTGATTCCTCTTTGTTTTTAAGTACGCGAAACAACATCTGAATCGTATTTCGGAGAAGAGTACCCATACCGGAAAACTCAAACAAATTGAGATACTTTCGTACGGTTTCCACGTTTTTAATTTCATCCTTCTCAAATAAGTTGATCAGACAATTTTGTTAGAATATTTTCTGCCAACGAATTTTTGCAGGAGAAAATTAAATGAATGTCATCATGCAGCAAACTCCGAGCTATTTGTTCCACCAAGACAACATCTCTATAAAGGTCACAACAAATTTTATGCGGAACTGTCGTCAGCAGTTAAGGTTGGTTATAGCAGAGAACGTGGTCGCCACCTCATTGTGAGTTTTTGCATTACAATTTTCGTATATATTTTGCATTTTTGAACTTGTGTTTTTCATTTCCGATTTGAACTCCCAGTCGGTCTAGGCTGCTGAGGATATTCCGGCAGGTTCAGTAATCGGTTTGGAGGAACCTACTTTTTTGGTGGCAACAAGGCGTCTGACAAATTGTTCGCATTGTGCTCGTATTCTTCCACTGTCTTATATACCGTCAGTATTTACGATTCCGTAAAGTGGAGCTTACTCTTTTTTTTTTGTTTTTTTGTTTTTTTTTTTTTTTTTTTTT